AATATAAGGGCTCCTGAGGCCACCTTTATATGCAGTGCCTACTTCTAAAGTTACTTTGTTCCTCGACTCCCCTTACAAAATTCATGCATTCATACGAACTTTATGATTATTCTGAACATCCGCTGGACTACACTGTTTTTCTGCCTGGATTTCCTCATCATCTCTTTCTTAAACCTTCAATATTGACTGGCCTTTTTCCCATAAAAATTTCAGGTGCTCAAGTAGTTCTAATTTTAAAAACTTCTCTTGCCCCTCTGTATTTGTCATCCTTAGGCCTACATCTAAAAACATTTAGATTCTGTCACTAGTTCTTCACCTTCCATTCTCAGAGTGTTACTGACAAGAACTGTTCAACTTTGAAATGGGTTGGGGGTCTTTTTCCTCAAGGAGATGCAGTGACAGGGTACAAGACTTGGAGAATTTCAGTCTCTATCACCCCCATCACAGGGTCACTGTGCAGCATACACACTGTACAACCTCACACTATGGCCTTGGGTGATTTTTTTCTACTGGCTTCTAATTTATTAGATTTGGTAGAATCATCATTAGAACTCTGTTACTAAAGTAATGGACCAAAAGAACAAGCAACTGGTTTTGCTCACAATTCTTTCTGCAGGTACAGGACTGTGCTCTCTGGTCCTTTTGGTGAGGCATATTTTATACATCCCTACAGAAGCTCCTTATGTTTTAACACTCCTGCTAACATTACCAGTTCTAGTCATTTTCTGGAAGTCTTTTCCTATCTTCCACCTCCTGATCTCTGGCAATTAGAGTAAATTAGATTACATTTTATATGGACAATTAGAAAAATGTATTAAGAGTTAAAAGAATGTCAGTTTTTAATTTTTTCTACACATCTTTGCTCAGCAAAATAGCTTTAAACAGTCAGCAAAAAAACAAGTTTGAGGTTGTCCTTTAGAAACAAACAAAATATTCTTTTTACTTTTGGTGTAAAATGTTCATTGCAGTTAACTTTTATGATAGCAAAGAAAAAAATTCTTTGATATTTTATCACTCAGATATAACTATGTTAATAGTTGGGTTAGGTTTATTTAAATTTGTGTGTATGTGGTATGTCTGTGTGTTTGTTATTTATGCATTTTACATACATTTTTTTGAAAATCAATATATTATTATTGATTGATTATGCTTTCTAGCCTTTTCCTTTTCAGAATTTTAGTAGTTAAAAATCTTGAAAAATGGTTTTTAATGACTTATTAATACATTTGGCCATTTACAAATACTTGGTCATTTTTATGTTGCAGAACAGCCAAAAATAGTAAAAACAATTGGATGATCACTTGATCAAGGGACAGATAGGTTCTTACTTTATACTGCTCTACATCTACTACCAGTGCGTGAATGTAGTTTCTTTGCAACTTTGCCAATCTCACATTTTGAAAAAAGTCACTCTACCAGCTCTAACAGTTTTATATGATACTATTTTATTTGTTTATTATTTTTTCTTTTTTTGTTATATTATTATTGTGCTGGGGGTACATTGTGACATTTACAAAGGTTCTTATATCATAGTTGAATTCACTTGTCATATTCAGTCCTAAAATAGAATAGCTCCAGTTAGATTTTTAATTGGTTTCAGTGATTTCGTTATCTTCTTGAACTCTAATGCAAAGTTCATCCTAGCTTTCTCAGCTGTCCACAAATAAAACCCTTCCAGATTAGCTCTGTTCTTGACTTTTGAGGAAGAAAGCTATTTCCTCTTGGGACCCAGTCCACCATACTAATTTTGTTAAAGTCTAAAGTACATTAAACTGACAACTACTTCCTTTCCAAGGGGTCATGCTATCTAGATCCCAGATCTACATGCCTGCTCTGCCCTGTCCCTCTCTATCTTGAATGTAGAACCCAAACTTTCACTTAACTTGTTACATGGTCAGAAGTTCCTTCAAGTGACAGGAGAGCACTGTGGAATCAGGACTGACTAGTTTCAGTTCCAACTTTCACATTTATCAGAACTTAAGCATGTCCCATAAACTAATCCTTAATGAAGAAAAAAATATCAGAGGGAAGTAAATGCTGAATAGACAGTTTTGATACATGTTGGTATGATACATGTTGAGGTTACTTTAACTTGCGAGCCTCAACATGGGCATGTCCTCTCTGAGGTGATAATAAACTGACACCTCAGAAAAGAAAGAAAAGCCTATCAAGGGAAGCTTGAAGAAAGGAAGCAAAGGTAGAGGAGAGTATGTAGAGAGTTCTTAGGCAGAGGGTAGGCAAAAGGATGCTTGCATGAAATGAGATGCTCTATGTAATCTTACACTGTTTGGTGGATGGGGAGAGAGAAAATAAAAAAAAAGGGAGAGGGTGGGAAGGGAGAAATGAATGAGAATCCTATATGGCTGACCGCTCTAGGGAAACTTCTTCTTTTTCATCTTTTTATCCATGAAAGTGCTTCTCAGTTGCAATTACTACTTGGCCTTGTTCCACTAATAATAAATAATTAGGGCTACTAATTACTAAGAGCCCAAGGGCATCAGATTCAATATAGGCTTTATGTATGTTCTCTCAAATAATCCTTACAGCCTGAGGCAGTTATTATCCCTATGTGGGTCTTTATGGTTGGGAAAACCGAGGCTCAGAAAACCTATGTATCTTGAGAAAGACATCTTGTAAGTAGAACCAAAGTGTAAATCCAGGCTGGTCTGACCTCAAATCCATATTCTTGACTGCTACACCACATGACTCAACAATTAGACTTCTCTTTAACAGTTTTTACATCAGAAGATGTAAAAAATTATTCATTATTTAGCTTATTCCTCATTACTTAGCCTTCTTTGTGATAAGAACACTTAATTTCACCTCATAACCAGATAAAGACAAAGCATCATTTTTTTAGGGACACATTCTCTTTAGTTATGGAAGGCATTTTAATATAGTAAATAGATGTGGGTTTGGAAGTTGGCTGGGAAAGAATGAAATCCAGATTCTGACACTTTTTCTGTGATCTTGGGCAACTCATTTAATCTAGGCTTACTTTCTTCATCTGAAAAATAAGAATACTCTTTCTCTGGAGAGCTGAGAATTAAAACATAGAAAGTGAAGAAAGTTCTTAGAATATCTACTCACATCTAACAAATGGCAGGTGCAAAACAAACAAAAAAAATTTAGAAACAAAAAAGGAAACATTCATTTTACAGAGTCTGATTTAGAAATGTCTTGCTAGGAGAACAGAGGCTTTACTTTATCTGTTTCCACAATTCCAGCACCCCATAGTGCAAGTTCACTGAACTACTTTAAAGGCAGTCTGATATATGTGATTTCTGCCTGAGTCAGCTTCAGCTGCTGTAACAAAATCCCACACAGTTTGGCATATTGACAGAAATTTATTTCTCTCAGTTTTGGAGGCTGGAAGCCTGAGGTGGTCCTAGCAAAGCTTGGTACTGGTGAGGGCCCTCTTCTGGGTTACAGATGCCTGATTTATGTTAGCATGGTGAAGAGGGAGCTGGAAAATCCCTCTTTATAAGGCACTAAACCCATTCATGATGTTTGTGAACTAGTTAGCTCCCAAAGGCTCTGACTCTTAACACCATCACATTAGGGGTCAGGATATCAACATAGGAATTGGGTGGGTGGGGCACAAAATCCAGCCTACAGCAATGTCCTTACCAAAGGCCACTTAGGGGTTGGGGGTTTAGTTCAGTGGCAGAGTGCTTGCTTAGTTATGCATGAGACCTATGGTTCAATCCTGGGTACCACAAAAGCAAACAATACCCATTCAGGCTGAAGGATTATTTTCTTCCAGAATCAGAGAGAAAGGTCATTTTTTACTGTTCCAAATCTTTAGGACAGGGACAATATGTCTTACCAGATATGAACTATTTCATAAATGTTATTGTTAAAAGTTTTATGAAATACTATAAAAAGATGTAGGTGAAAAAGACTTTTTATAGCATATAATTGTAATTAAAATATATTGAAAAAGTAGGTAAGTGATCAGAAACAGGAGAATGTAGTTCAAAATAACAAGCTGGCATGGTGGCTCACACCAGTTCCTTGGGAAGCAGAGATTGGGAAGATCATGGTTGGAGGACAGCCCAAGCAAACAGTCAGTGAGACCCATCTCTTCAGTAAGTAAGCCCAGTGTGGTGGTACACATCTATAAATCCCAGCTACGTGGGAGGTGTAGGTAGGAGGATCATGGTTCAAGGCTGGTCAGGCAACAACTAAAACAACTGAAAAATAACTGAAGCAAAAAGAGCAGGGAGCATGGCTCATACGGTAGAGTACCTGCTGAGCAAGCACAAGACCCCGAGTTCATACCTCAGTGCTGCCATTACATAAATGAGAAAGGTCACTTATAGAAAAGCAGCAAATTGCTTTAAAATTAAATACCTGTATTTATTGCAAATGCAAATAAAACAGAAGACTGTGTTTATTGTATTTTTCAAGAACTGAAAAAGATGTAGGTAGAAAATTAAAAATGATGCTGATTGATTTAAGGTTTAAACTTGGTATAAAAGAGTGAGGGCTGTTATGGCAAACTGGTCTTAGGCATAGCCAGGTGAACTGTTGCCTTCCAGTGTGCCAGTGAAAGCTTTTTTTTTCCACCCTTTTTTTCCCAGCTGATACAGTCCCTGAAATTATATAAAACCTAGTCTTCCAGGCTAAGGTTAAATATTGCTATAAGAGTTTACTTATTTAAACTCATTTCAGATAATGATTATTTCTTAAGATCACACTGGCATTGAGAAGAGGAAGCATGGGTTCACAAATGGAAGAGAAACAAACTATAGTTTCCCAGAAAAGATTTTCCTAAGAAAGTCTCATTTTCTACAATATTATTCCTTAGCACTGCAGATTGCATGGAGTTTAAACTCGATTTAGCAAAACAATGTGTCTTTTGAGTCCCAAGAAGAACGTAAGTCATGTATTTATAAAAGCTTTATTAAAATATACACTTAAAATACACATTTTTCATAAATTTTCATTTATTCAAGCCTATGAAATATGGAATGCGATAAAAAATGAACAGAAAACATTTTAAATATACTTGCTGAAATAACTAATATTCCACAAAATATGATATGATCCAGCTCTTAACAAAACTATTCTTTACAGAAATGAGTTATAGTTTTAACACAGAGATACCAAATCTTCCCTTAATCAAGACAGTCAAACAGAGCAGCTCTCATTTAGCTTCTGCATTAGGAAACACCACGTGACACTGCACTTCTCTTTATATACAGCAGCAGCCTCTGCTGGAGAAAGGAAAACGCTTCAACTACAAAGCATTTAATTTAGAACCCAAAGTTAGATCTCTTTCTTTCATTTCCTGCTTAACAAACTAAGTTAAAATCACTATTTTCAAGGTCTTAAAGATGTGCGGGCCTTATCAAGTATATCCTTTCTGATTTTTGGATAAGTTGGATGTGCTTCAAGAACCTGCAAAAAAAAAAAAATCCCAATAGAACTTGCAGTTGATTATTAAGAACTAGGGAGCTACAGAACTTGCTATATAGAGCATTATAGTTTAAATTTCATTATACTAATCCTACACCTTCAATACTGTACAAAGGTGGCAGCTTAACTGTAACATGACTCACAATAGATGAGAAGAGCAGAATATGAACATGACATGGAAACAAAATAAATACAACTGGTTCCTTAACAGTTGCATAAAACATTTATGTATTAATGATTTAAAATATTTTTGTAATTTAACTACTTATGATATTCAATAATCTGTTGTAAAGTGATTTTAAACCAGAAGCACAGATATTTTCCTGAAGAGATTTTAGGTATCCAGCCTATTGAGTCAAAGAGTGGGGAGATGGTCATTTAAAAAAAAATAGCTCCACAAGTCATTCTAATCTATAGTTTTATGCTAATGCACAAACTGAACCTTAATGAGAAATACTGCCTTCCAAAATTTCAGCAATCAGTAGCAATCATGTAGGGCAAGTAGTTATTATTATGAGTCTGATATATAGTTATCTGGGAAAAGGAACTTCAAAAATTATTTTCTAAGGAGCTTTTCTTGGAATTCTTTACAATATTTAATGCCTTATATGGAAGAACACTGGGACGATGTATATATAGAGGAAGTTTATATATAGATTCTAAAACAGCAATTTAAATATTTGTCATTTTAGTAGAGGATCATAAGTAATAAACTGTAGAAATGTAACTGAAAAATTTGTAAATTACAGAATACCTTTTTCTCTAATTTATAAATCTGAATTCTCTAATATATAGATTTGGACACACTGACAAGAAATTCCACTCAGAATAATGACCTGGAGGATTTAAACTACTTTAAACATCCTCCTACATAAAGATTGTTTTCTTTAACAAATTTTTTCCACTAGCTTCTATCTTTATATTGACAAAAACACCTTCATATTTGAGCCCCAATTAAAGATATATTTGATTTTTAGGTAAACATTATTTTCTAAATTTTGAACACTGAGTCTCTTCACAACATATTTAATAAGTCATTTAAAAAAAGACTACATCCTCTGCTTCTAGTCATGTACATTTTGAGATTAACTAAAAAGTAGAAAATCATACATCTGAAACATTTAAAGAAATCTAAATTTAAGTGTTTACCTGGTGGCATATGTCAATTGCATCCACATATCTTTTTGCTTTTAAATAATTAAATGCCAGTCTATATCCTGTTAAGACAAAAAAAATGGTGTGTGAGTACATTGCTAATATTACTTTTTTCCCTTCTTTTATTTGCTAACTCATTAGAGAAACCTTAATGAGGTTGGTGACAGAACTACCACAGGGAGAAGTTATGATTAACAGAAAATGGAGCAAAATGAAAGATCAAGAAGAACAGAAACTGGAGATGGAAAATGGACCACAGTGAATACACTATTGGGTTAGAATTTCTGCTTGCCATTTCACAAGTTTAGTTTCTATAACTTACTAGAAAAGTTTCATTTATTTCAGGTTATAATTAAAACTCATCCCAGGGCAATAAATGACAATACAACTATTCATTTATACAGTATAGATTTATTTAGAACTTAACACATCAGACAAACTAATTGCTATAATCATGAGATTTACAGTGTTATCAGGAGAAGAAGTATATTATTCCAATAATTATATGAGTAAATGAGATAAATTCCAAGAAAGAAAGATCTAAGCTAAGACCAAGGCCAAGAATGTTACAGTAAGGAACCTGAACCAGGCAGGAAAAGCATGACAGGGGATGTTTGAAATCTGAAGGATGAGGCATAAACCAATCCAGGCTGGGAATCAGGAACCGCTTCACGTGGAGGGAACTGCATGTGTCAAGACAGGCATGACATGTAAAGAAACCAAATAACCTCAAGAGAATGTGGTAGGAAAACACATGTTGGAGAGGAGGGTTGGTTAGTGTTAGTCATCAGGTATCCCACATTAATGATTCGTAAGAATTATCACGATAGTATTGACAATTAGAAGACATTTTAAGACATTCTTAAATGATTATTGTTCTTTAAGAATGATATGAGAACAAGAAAACTAAAGAGATAAATAACAGTAGCTGTATATATAATATATACACAATTAATGCAATGTAAAATAATATGTAGTAATAAGTATGTCACTTTACATATCAGGAAAATGAATGCTATTTAGGGCCATAATGAAAGTACAGGAACAAATTTTTAAAATTTCAAACAAATATTTGAAAAGAATTACTGGCTAATATATGATAGTGAAAAGAAATAGAATGTTTGATATAAACTCTTAAACTCTTAAATACACACACACACACACACACACACACACACACACGTATGGAACTGATGAAGAGGAAAACCAGAAAGTTTAAAACAAGGAATTCTAAAGTGGGCTAATTCACAGTGACATGTAAAAGGGAAACAATGTAAGGTGTCATGTCAAGTGTAACTGACATGCATCTACTTAGTGTTTGATCTAAACTTTGGTCTCTGGCTTCTTGATGAACTGTGGGACCTTAGCCAAATGCTTGAGCTGTCAACTTCAAGTTTCCTCACCCATAAGATGGGGAAAACATCTCTCCCTATAATTTAAAGATCAAATGGATATTTGTTATTAAATGCTTTGAAAACTGTAGAGTACTACATAAATATTAGCAATATTTTTCTTTGTAAACAAACACTAAATTAGAATCACAGTTTTAATGTTGGAAGAAACTTGATAGATCATCTAGTACTAAAAAGATTATATAGGAAATAAAGGACTAGAAATGGCATGAACAGGTATACTACATCTGCAGTACACATGCAAACTTATACAAAGTCAACTGTATGGTATCTAGGTAAAAAACAGACAGAAAACCCACAATGTAGTGTAGTTAACTGTCATAGAGCCTGAATATGGGTGTGACTGGGTTCTTTTGCTAGCTCTTAGTTCCTGGTGCCCTTCTTTTTTTACCTTTCTAAAAAATGTTTTTATTATATAAACTCATGCAAGGTGTACAGTATTTTATGTATGTGTATATAAAATACTTATGTGAAGTGATTACTGAATTCAAGAAAATTATCTTATCCATCCTGGTGCCTTTCACAGTGACAATACCCAATTCTGTACTCTATGCAAAAAGCACAAGCATGAGTTTAAGGGTTTCTTGACAACTGAAAAAGTACAATGCACTCTTAACTTGGCCAACAAGTTGGGGTATTGGATGTAATACCAATCTTAAGGAAGAAACTAAATAATTACTTGATGGTCTCAGAGAAACACTAAAGAAAACGTAGCAAATCTGATAAAATCACCTATGAAATGCAATGATGATGCAACAAAAAGCTTGTGAGTTGGATTCCTTATATTTCTCGAAGCTTTCCTAAGAATGGAATATATAAATAACTTCTGGACCTATTCCTTCTGTACCAAAATTATATATATTTTAAGGACATTTAAGAAATTTCCATCATACAAATTCACTTTATTTTGTAAGATGTATAATTCCTGGGAATGATAAATTCTACAACAACCTTTAGTTCCTGTGCTATATGCAAATCTAGTAAAATAACAGACCCCCAGAACACAGGGTCAGGGCAGACCTGAACTGATGGCAGTTAGTGTGAAGAGGACCTATGTGACTACAGATTAAACATGGTGACATGGCTGCTAAAGAGATTGAGGCTGCGTTAACAACTAGAAAATGTCTAATCAAAAAAAAAATGCTGTTATTATACCCATAATTAGCCAAACCATATTTAGGAACAGGTTCATCTGTGGTATAACAGGTCAGAAGAGACATGGACAAATAAAACCACATTTTCCATACTTATGTGGCTGTAAAATCCATCTCTTCACACTCATTTTCTTTTAAAATGAGTAACTATTAAAAGCTCACCAAATGTTCCCAAGCACAGTTTGAGGAACACTATTTAGAGTTTCCAAGGGACAGCAGCAAGCAGGGTGAAAGGAAGGATAGACAAATAACAGAGGATGGTTTGAAGAAGAGCCTTAGGGTCGACATAATCAAAGTTTGCAATTAAAGGACTATCATTTGTAAAAGGGAAGGACCCTGGATTGCACCAAAGAACGGACCTGGGCTGCTTCAGTGAAGTGTATTTCAGTTCAGTATAAGCAAAGAGAAGAGCATGGGATGAGCTTCCTCCCAGAGACAGGTGAGGCTAGTCACTGACTACATTCCAGATGCTGCCCTTTTGTTACGGATATTATAAACTAGTATTCTTCAAACTGATAGTCTACAAACACTGGAACTAGATGGCGTTTCTAGATGCTCAGGACAAAAACATTGTCCTATGGTCAAATAATGGTGGGAAACATGGCTCTTCTCTGGTATCTGCCATAATGTACAAGAGTGCTTTAAGGCTTTAGAACATCTACAATAAGAAACCTGGATGACTTGATTTAATTCAATGTTTATCTAACTTATTCAATAATAGGACACTTTTTTCCCTCACCTCAGCCATTTTCAAAGTGGCAGAGGGTGAAGGAAGAGAAAAGCACAAAATTAGACTAGACATCCTTCTTATATAGCTAAGGACAAATATGGACCTCAGGGAATCATAATTAATTCTTTGTAGGTAATAATTATTATGAATACAAAATTTATTCTCTTCCAGAAAGTGGACAACAAAAGTTGGTTCTCAATGCAGGTTTTGTTCTGCAAAAAACCCAACTACATTTCAAAGAAGATTTACCAATAAAATACAAATTTCCTGTGAAAACCCTGTGCCTAATTTGCTAAACTCACCTACTGCTGGATTTGTCTGATTGCCATGTTTCCATGCCATCTCATAGTTGAAGGCAGCATCTGTATATGCTTGCTCTTTTTCCATAATGTATCCCATGTATTCATAAGCTTTGCAACAAGACTGAAGAAAAATAGAAGATGTATCAATAGATTGAACTTAATACCACTAAGAATTTATGGGATCCTTAGAGGCAGAGATCAATCAATATTAATCCATTTAAGTGGCACATGAAATGATGGCTCTCAACCTTGAGAATACAAATTATTTACAGAACTTAATGAATGATTCTGATACCAAGTAACCATCCCAAATCTTTCAGAATCTGGATTTTTCTCTTTTTTTTTTTTATAGTACTGTGATTTGAATTCAGGGTCTTGCTCTTGGCAGGCAGGCACTCAGTCACTTGAGTCACAAACCCCAGTCTTTTTGGTTTTGTTATTTTTCAAATAGGGTCTTGCTTTTATGCCAGTCCAGCCAAGACAGTGATCCTTATATTTATGTTTCCTGCATACCTGGGATGACAGGAGTATGTTACCACATCCTGCTTTTTATTGATTAAAATGGGGGGTCTCCCAGACTTTTTGCCAGGGCTGGTATCAAACTATGATTCTCCTAATCTCAGCATCCCAAGCAGCTAAAATTACAAGTGTGAGCCACCATGCCTGGCCTCAGAATTTTTTTTATAGAATCAGAAATATAGATCACGACATATGTACTTTATGCAGAAATAGTATAATGAACTCCATGAACCCCTTAACTTACCTTCAAAAATTAACTCATGATTAATACTGTTTCCATAGTACCAGAAAAAAAAATCCTCAGACTGTATCACTTCATTCATACTTATGTTAGTACATCTTTCTAAAAGATAAGGACTTTGACATCATCACAGTTCATGACACATAAAATACAGCAACTCCTAAATGCTACATAACTTATCCTGTCACTATTCAAATTTCAATTTTTCTCAATATAATTTAAAAATTATATTTTAGTTTGTTAGACTGAAGATCCAGATAAGGTTTCACACATTGTGACTAAAGTCACTTTTGACCTAGATTTCCTCCTCTATCTCTTTTCTTTTAATTAAATATAGTTAAACAAGAATATTATTCTAGAGTTTCTCTCAACCCAGATTTTGGTGATATGTGGTTATATATTTTTCCTGTGTCCCTGATATTTCCTGGAAATTGTAATTAGAGCTAGAAACTTTTTTAAATATTTTATTTATCAACATATATTAACACGTATTTTTAATTTTTGTTACCTAATTGAAGAAATTTTTATCTATATTTTCATTGAAACCATAACCCTTGAAGAGTACATTGAAAAATATGAATATAGAGTTATACATTGCCCCTTTTGATTCAGGCTCCACTATAACTCAGCATAGGAAAGTCAGATCCTGACTATTTAACATTTTAATATTTTAATTTTTTCATTACTGTGACTTAAAAATTCCATTAAATTATTTCTTATCTCAATTACTAAGCATTTCTCTTTTCTCATCCCAGTCCCAGCCCTGTCAAAAATGTTTCGTTCTTTCATCAGGAAGCACAGACTGTCTGATTCGCCTTCTTTTTGTTGTTATATAATGTTCATTTACAAATTCATCAGTGTTGAAAAATGGCGATACTCTAGCATTTTTCATTTATTAGCTGGAAAATGTGTATAACGAAAATGTCTCATCTAATATTTGGTTACTCACGAGTATAATTTGTACAGAAAAGAGAGAATAATTACTTAATTCTTTCCCTTTATCTGCCAGATTCTGAAACAATAGTCATTAGTCAATTAAGTTTTTGTTAATTTTTCATTTTTATGGAGTCATGGAATTAAATATATTTGATACATTTCAACCCACTGCAGCTATCATTCTTATTGGTACTTAAAGCATCCCAACTTGGCTCCTGGGAGTGTCTTCAAGTCCCTGGACACGACTCTGATCATCACTGATAGCTCCCTTGCCATCTGGTATGACAACGGTCTAGCATCACCTTGTACACTTCCTGCCCCAAATCTGGATGATCTCCATTTCAAATTATTAAAACCCAAGGTTTCTAAGCTTTAGTTTCTGTTTCTCAGGCTTCCACTCTCAACATGCATAATCAGCGAGGCCAAATGAAGACTCTAATGTAGCCATCACGCTCATCACACAGGTACTGCTGTCTGCATCAAAACCTTACGTGCCATCTTGCTTTATCCTATACCAGGCAGAAAAGCTTCAACTACTTAGCTTAGATTTTCAAATATTGTAAGTGTTCTCTCTCTCTCTCTTTTTTTTTTTTTTTGTGGTACTGGGGCTTGAACTAGGGCCTACACCTTCAGCCACTCCACCAACACTTTTTTTTTTGTGATGGGTGTTTTTGAGACAGGGTCTTCTTGCAAACTATATGCCCAGCTTGGCTTCAAAACACGATCCAATCCTCCTGATCTCTGCCTCCTAAGTCACTAGGATTATAGGCGTGAGCCACTGGCACCCTGGCAGGTCTTCTCTATTTTAAGGCTTATTTTACTTCAAATTGATGTAACTTATCAATTAGAATAGTCTATAAATTGAAAAATTGATAAATGAATTAGGTTTTTAAGCTACTAAGAAAGTGTCGTCATAGGCCAGATAATTGCATCTCTTCTTTAAAAAAACAAATGATCCAGTTCATAATCTAATTTGCTCAAAGGGAATAAAACAGATTTATTTTGATTAAAATTTTGAAGTAATTTATATGTATCTATGGAGATAAGTATTCTCAAGTTTCTAAGTTAAGTATATTTATTTCCCAGCATATAATAGCAAAAACCTTAGCTTAAAAATTGTCATAACAAGACTTCTCTTTCGTGGGATTAAACAACAAAATGTGAGTAAAAAGACTTAAATTATATAGACTTAAAGTTTTTCAATTGTATGCCTAAAGGTAAGGACTTTACATTACATTGAATTAAAAGCTGACAAGACTTTCCCCCACAAAATACATCATGCATAGAGGATTCTAATATTGTGGAAATGACATGCAGCAGCAGTAAATTCAGCAAGAGATCTCTTAATGGGAGGGACAGACGTTCTCAATTAATGTTCTGTAATTTTCATTAGTTCTGGGATGAGTAATCATAGGCAAATTTGTGATATTTCAAAAACAGGAAAAAGGGCATCACCACAGCTGAAACTCAAAACTGTATAACTCTTTCTTTTTTCTCTTTACTTTCAAGCTCAAATGGCTTTTTTTATTAATTTTTCTTGATTGTGGTAAGAATAAACATTTAATACTGAAAAACACTCAAGACTTTTTGGAAATGGGTCAACACTCTAAAATAAATATTAACAATTTTCACTCTTCAATCACTTACTCTATTATGACGTAGGCACCGTTTTAATAGTTCTTCTGCCATGTCGTATTTTGCTGATTGAATATAAATGTCTGCAAGTAATAGCCAGCTCTTCTCAAACTCCTCAGCATCAATAGGATTCCAACTCATTTTTGCAATTCTCTTCAGCTGGTTTCTAGCTCTTGGAGTCTGTTTCAAGATCATATAAGCTGTTGCCATTCCCAAGAGTGCTGGGATATGATCCTTCTGCAAGAAAACAAAACTTTAGACCATCAGATGCACAACATAAATGTCCTGTGTTTGAAAGAAAAAACACGGAAAGCAGGAAGTGAAAATGTGGTCAGCATAATTCAATAACTGCAGATGCCATAATGACACAATTCTTACAATAAGTGCAACTCAATTTTTTAATGGATTGACTGTATAGGAACAGAAGAAAATAAAACATTTTAGAATAATCATTAGTGAGCAGATTTTTATTTCAGATTTAACATTTTGCCTCCTTAAGTTCTTTCACCTGACAAATATCAGAAAGGAATAACAAGATTTATGTAAAAATGATAGTCCTTATACATATTGACTTCTATCGCTATTTTTCCTCCCTTCTCCTTTTATTAAAATAGTTACTTCTCCCAGCAAAGTATGACCAATGAAATGTTACAACTGATGTCTGCAATTAATTAACTACTTGATAATTGTATGAAATAAATTCATGCCTTAAAATAGGCTTTTAGATATAGACTGCAAGTTCCTGACAGGGTTTCTAAGCCACAACTTTCCTTCAGGTAGAGTTCAAAGTTAGAAAATTTTACTCTGTGAAACCAATAGGTTAGTAAGAACTGGTATAAAATAGAAGCCATTAGTGATCCATACAGAAAACTAACTTAAATAAGCAATAATGTATATGTTCCTAATTAAGCTGCAGTACTACTAAAACCTTCGCAGAGGGATTATGATACATTAGAAAGAGGAAAGTCTCAGCTTAAAATACATAAATTAATCAGAAATTATGACTATGACTATAATAAAAGTTCCCTGTAAGACTGTAAATTTGGGTTACTAGTAAGGAAAACTGAAAAAGGAGTACACAGTGAGAAAATATTCAATGTCCAAAAGTGATCTTGGTTGGAAGACAGTAATAACTCTGGAAGGTCTAGAGGAAAATAGTAGAAATACAAATTCTTCTTGGCTCTAAGTCTATGTCTACCAATATATTTTCAACATATAATTTGTTCCCCCCCAAAAAGAAATGGCAAAACAAGTTTCATCTGAGTGCCAAATCCAACCATTGGTAGTAAATTTTGAAGATGTATGGAATGTTATCAATTACGAAGCCTCACCCCCACCACATGAGCTGGGCTAGGAAAGGTCAGAAAATGGAGGCCTACTAAATACTTGTCAGCCTGGTCCTAAGAAAGACTAAAGGTCCTGTAAAAAGGTCACGTTTACTCACATGCACAAAAACATCTCACACTACACACTTAACGTAAGTCTCTGGTTTTAAACCATACAGCCTGAGTTTGATTAGAACTAATCAGTTCTTGACATCTTGATCACTCCTGAAGAACAGTATCTAAAACTGAGTTCTAATCCCTGTATTAGAACATGAAGTCTTTTTGTGGTGCAGACATCTTAAGACCTTCAGTCAGCCCCTCTCTTTCACTCTTAGTCACTGCAAAGGGCAATATTCAGATGTGGACAACATATCTCTGCCATAACCCACACACTTTTATGGTTCAAAGTGATGTAATGATAGCAAGTGGGAATAGTTTTGCTTGCGTTTAATGTATCTTCCACCATTTCCCCTGACTTCCTGACACATACCTCAGAGTGACACAGTGTTATGAACATACTTCATGTTTTTCTGCCTCCTTGCTTTGTTCCTATTTGCCCTTCATTTTAATGAAACTTTGACCATTTCTTATGTAAAAATGCTATTTATCTTAGTTGTTTGAATCATTCCTGCTTCTTAAATCATAGTTTCTCCAAAAAGGGTCTCCCAGCTCTCTTTATATCGTTATCTAAACACATTTATTTGCAACTCTGGGAGAGGATATACTAGATTTTGATTTGTGTTATAATCATATTCAGTATGCCTGTCTCATTTTCTATAGATTATTAGCAACTTGAAAAAAAGGAATCATGTTATTTATTTTATGATTCTCAATACTGAATATATGCAGCCTATGAATTAAAAGAAAAAAAGTAAGATAAAATCCAGTGTTTAGGAAATTTCAACTCATATATGATTACCATTTGGACAATATGGCCAGGAAACAGATTTAGGGATGGAATATTGGTAATTACACAGACAAGGATGATAAAAAATGCAGTTTTATAAACCCCTCCCAAAAAGGGCATATTCTTTCCAGGAAATAGCTGTTATGTCTATCACGGACTTTGCAAGAATAATCAATTTACTCAAAACAAACTCATTGCTATATGACAGAGGACTCCTTCGCAACTTCAGTGACTATGACATCTTACTTGAAATTGTGCTTCATCGTGTCCTTAAAGATTTTTCTTAGACTTACATGACTGTCTTACTTCCCTTCATTCGGCAGTTGTCATATATTTGCTGCTCAGGTCAATTCAAGAGCTCAGTGTTTGAGAATATTATTTTAATGTCTGCAGAATGGCTCTGCTCTCTGATGGTGCTGCTACTGCTGCTACCTTGCTATTTTGTTCCAAGGGTGGGCTTACTGTGCCAAGCAAGTAAATTGCCATCTAGCATAGCTCTACCTAAACCACAGCAGGACTTGCAGGTCTTCCAACCTAAAACATCTAAATTTTCTCTAAGGTCCAGAAGGTGACCAAAGCACCCACTGGTATGGGGGTTTGGTAGTCTACTGCTACCACTGTGAAAACAGAGTGAACCACAAGAAAACACAGCAAAATTCTGAATATCCTTTGGGAGACACATAATTATGAGTTTTCAGTGGCCTACAACTTTGTTGAGTGGAAGAACAAACACGAAATTCACCAAACATGCTTAGAACTAGGTGTTACCAAGTGCTGGTTGAGGGACTATCCAGAATTCCTTCTTGAATAGTACTGTGCAAGGGAAGGAAAAATGTCATGCCAGGGAGTGAGAAAGGAAGTGAATTTGAGTGGTGTGAAAAAAAGACAGTCTAAGAATAAAAAGGCCAACATAATGATAAAGATTGCAAGAAGCTATTTCAGTACTGATAAAGAACATCATTATTTGTATAACCAAGTTATAAATTGTCAGTACTGATCTCATATAGCCCTAGGACTAGAAAAATTCCAAGTATACAGTAAGTGAAGAGGTGAGACACCAAGGAAGCCAAGTATTTATTTTCACTAAGTAAGTTAACCTAAGCTACAACTACAACACAGAAATTCTCCAAAAGATAAAGTTGTTTCTTTCAAACTTAACTTATATTCTTTTGAAAAATTCCCTTTCTGTAGAATTCAACATTCCAGTAGATATAAATACATACATAACATATCAAAATAACATAAATAACATATCAAAATAGTAAGAGTAGCTCATCTGGAAACAAAGGTATATTGTATTGGATTATGCCAAACTATATATCTGATTTTCAAATAGAGCAAAAGTAATTAAGTTGTTTTTTAGAAAATAAACAAAATGTGTAGTTCTATATTAACAAGGAAAGATAGCACACAAAGTTGAAAAAGGAAAACTACTAACCTCAGAGGTTGCTATTTCGGTGAAGGTATTTAATACTTGCTCAACATTAGATTTCTGTTTGGTTGCCATTAGGCAATAGTTTTCCATTATGCGAAGCTGTACGTGACCCTGAGCAGTCTGAGGTTTTAGCTCTTTAAGGAGTTTTTCTGCTGTTCTCACTGCTAATTGCACAGACTCTTGCTTCTCAGTTGAATGACTGTATACATTAAAAATAAATCACTTATGGCTATTACTCATGATACAAAATTCATTGAGTTTATAATCAGAGCTTTTGGGTATACTTCTCTTTTTATTACTCATTTAAAGGTAATTCTTTGTGAAGAATGTTACTCCTTTTCTTTTAATACAAAGAGATACACAGACATAAATGTATTTGTAAGCAAAGTTAATAAAGCCTCAGTAAAATAACACTATGCCATAATTTACTCTGTAGAGAAAAAAATAGACAATATCTACATGTGGTAAATTTGTTCATCACAGTTAATACAAAAGTAGAATCATACAATTATCAAATGGTGCTGTAAACTCAGAAAGTGAAAGGGAAGGAAGAAAGAGGGAAAAGGGCTAAGTCACTCTATGTTGAATACATTTTACATTTCAGAAAAGTGAGGCTCAAAAAAAAAGTGGAGGGATTTGTCAAAGGTCACGTAGCTAATAAATGATAAATTTAGGATCTAAGTTTATCAGATATAAAGTCTACTCTGCTTTCTTCACCTTGTTGCCTACCAGACTCTCAAGAAGAAAAATTATATGTGGTAAAGTATTTTAAATTTCAAATAAAGTAACAATTTGAATATCTCGTAGCAAGTTTCTTATTTCTTACACACATCGATTAAGAAATAAGATCCTTAAAATTCACTCACTAAAGCTGTTTTCCTCAGGCCTTTGGCTTTTTACCTTAACTAAAACACTTCATGCTACTCTGTCTTCTCCAAAGTTCCTCTCCTTTGGTTTCCATAATTTGGTACAGTTTTGGTTCTCCTTCTATCATACTGATTGCCCTTTCCTGACCTCTTTCCTGCAGACCTCTCAAGTGTTAGTATGCCCAAAATTTAGTTCTCAGATTTGTCTTACTACATAGTACTTGCAATGAGGCCATTTAAGGCATTTCAACCATACATCCATGCAGATATCTCCCAAATATCTAGTGCAGACGTAACTTCCCTTCTGAGTTCTAGTTTTGTATTTTCAAGTGCTTGCTGAAGATCTCCACTTGGGTAGCCTACAAATCTAACTCAACCTTCCTAAAACACACAAGCAGGCTATCTGTCTACATTCAATTTCCAGTGGTCTTTATAAACCAAATCTTGAAATCTGTCATTTTAATCTTTCAGTAGTCTAGTTCTAACTTTCTGCCATTCTTCTATGCATTTTTCCTTGATAACTATGCACTGGTATGATTTCTATGAACCCCTGTAATACTTAATATCCATTTTTATCCATTTCTGTTGTGCTGGAGACTGGTTTCAGGCATTGCCTTGCATCGTAAGTAAATTACATCTCCTGAAGGCAGAAACTACCTCTTATATTCCCTTTACATTCTTAAACATCCCCCTGACTCCCAATCGGGCCTTGCCCAATTATGAGGAGAGGAGAAGCAACAAATACAGTCTGATGGAAATATAACCATTTACCAGTATTCCACAGTGAGCAACAGAAGGAGCTTTGAGGCCAGGTAGCCATCAGTGCAAATCTTGCTCTACCTTCACTAACAAGCACATTAGATAAGTTGACTGAGAGACACAGTGCACGTAAAACACAGGGTTTGACATAAAAACTATCACTTGTTAAGTCATTACTATTACTATGTGGACAATTTTCGTTATAGTTGTAAAATTCTACAACTTATCTTATTTTCTATAGAGTAACTAGGGAGTGTCTTCATGACATGTCTATTCTGATTTAGGAAACACTTCTTAAAAGCACTTCATGCCTGATTTAGAGAACTGCTATTTTAGTCATTTTAGCTATGTTTTATTTATTTGGTCTTTCATTAGTGCTATTTTAGAATTTAATTTTCTTCTTTATTCCTGCTTATTATCCCCAACAAGTGTTTACATAATATGTCAAAGAATAATGAGTCAAACACTACTCACCCTAGATCTCCATCCAGGTTTTCAAACACTTCACCTCCAATAGTTTCATTGTCTGGATTCAAACAGATTTCTATCATATTATAAATTGCATTTTGGCCCCAATCACTGTCTTTTCGAGCTTTATTAAAATGTCGAAGTGCATCATTTGGTTCTCCAGTATACCTTGTTAGATGTTTTAAAAAATATTTCAGTAACTGACTACAAATTTTATATTAGTTTTATAATATGCTTGGTAACAAAACTATTAAAATATTTTAAAATGTAAGTATTTTTATTACAAAGAAAAAGAGGTTATTGTACTTTATCTAAAATAGGAAAAAAAAGTATTATGAAGGGTTTATTTGCCAACAGATTTACCAAAGATGCAGTCCTTTACAGTATTGAAATCCTGGCTCCAGTTTTGCTCTGGAGTTATATTTCTCAGCCATTGAGAAAAATCTTGGAACGTCTTCAAGTTTTCCACATCTTCTTAGGAGATCAATCAAACGAGATAAAGTCATATAATTATCTAGAAAAAAATAATACTTCAGACATAGCCAACTTTTATAACTCCTGTTCTGATGGCTATAATCCTACTTAATTAACACATAATTTACTTCAAATAAAGTACAATATACATATAAGCAAAGGCATGTAGGGGCTACAGTTTCCTAAAGAGAATTATGAACAATTGAATAATCTATCAAATGATATAAGGTAGACTGGTCACAAATGAGAGAAGGTTCTAAATAGGCACATACAAAAATGCAAATGTTACTATTTTTCAATTGTTCCTGGGACCAAAACCTTCCAGAACGGTCTCTATCTAGACAATATAGACACTAAACTCAGGAGGATTGTTTGATTGCACAGGGCAAGTTGACTTTCTGAGATCCTCTTTCCCACTTTCTGTAGCTGGGAAGTAAGGAAGAGCATTCTGACAATGTTTAAGGAAGACAATTAGAAATGTTATTTCAGACTTTCTTTAATACATGTATGTACCTAACACAGCAGTCACTGGTTTATCATACTGTAGCCCTAATATGCTAGTCCCAATATTTCAGTCTTACTTCAGTTCTTTGGTCTCTAGTATAATTTACTGGCAGACTCCTAGAAAGCCTTCTTCTAATTCCTTCTACTTTTATCAGTAACATACTAAGATTTAAAAATAATTTAGTAAGTGTTTTAGAACTGGAAAAATAACTCATGGACACTGGAAAAACACATAATAGCATAAAGAAGAAAAAAAATCCCTCACTCTCATAAATTAGAGATTACCACAATTTGGTGCTTCCTTTTATATATTTATGAGTGAAAATCAAGCTGTGAATGTTTAGATTTTCATTTATACAAAATTATTCTTTGCTTACATTTATACAAAAATTGACTGACACTTGGGGATTTGATTTTGACTCAACATTTTATAGCAATCTTTTCCCAACTGTTATTAAATGATCTTCAAATACATGATGTTAATGACCACATAAGTCTATTTCATTAATAGTTCTATTTATTTCTGTAAAGCTGTGTTTTTTAGCTTCAGTTAGTATAAGACTCATTGTAGGTGATTTGCAAAAATTCTTATGTCACCTATTCCTAATCACTTTCTGAAGGTGAATTCCTAGACTAAAACATACAGACTAAAACAAACAAAAAACAATCTTAAAGAAATTTATCCTTGATTCTATTTTCCAAAAAAGAGAAGATACCGTATGATCTAGCAAGTTCACTTTGAGAACATATCCAAAGAACTGAAAACAGGGCTTCAAATAGACGTCTGTATACCATATTTGCAGTACCATTATTTGCAATAGTCAAAAAGCAGAAATCACCCAAATGTCCATCAGTGGATGAACAGATGAATAAAATTTAGAATATATAAACAATGGGATATTATTCAGCCTTAGAAAGTAAGGAAATTCTGACATATATTGCAATATGGACAGATACTGAACACATTATGCTAAGCAAAATAAGCCAAAAAGGACAAATGCTGTGTGGTATCACCTATATGAGCCACCTAGAGTAGTTTAAGTTCATACAGAGAGAAAGTAGAATACTGATTATCAGGAGGAGAGGGGTTGAAATGAGTTATGTACTTAGTTTGTAATGACGAAAAAGTTTGGAGATGGATAATGGTGATGACTTTTACAAAAAATGTGAATGTACTTAATGACACTAAATTGTATAGTTAGAAATGGTTAAGATGATAAATTATGCATGCTTTACCACAATAAATATTTATTTAACAAAGAACCTCTAAGCCATATGTGGTGGCACATCTATAATCTCAGCTATTCTGGAAGGTGGAGGTGGGGGCAGGTGGGTCATAGCCTGAGACCATCCCAGGCTAAAGCACGAGACAGTTATCTGAAAATAAGCTAAAGCACAAAATGGTTGGAGAATGTGGTTCAAGTGGCAGAGCACTTTGAGGCCCTGAGTTCAAATCCTAGTACCACCCTCAAAAAATAAAACATTAGAACCTCTGCCTAATGTCAAAATAATCTAGATGGTTATTTTCATCATGTGCTTGCCCTGGCACATAATTTTGACTCTATAAATTTTGTTGTTCCTGCCTTTTGGCAGAGAATGACAAGAATACTGTCTCTGAAACACAGGAGCCAAACATTGGTCTTGGCCTCTAATAATACGAAGATGAGCAAATTACTTAAATTCTAGTCTAAAATTTCTTAAAATACGATTAGAATTTGGATCTTCAGAGGGCAACAGAAATCAAATCAAAGTATGAAAGAGATTTATAAACCACTAATGTCATCAGCAATATTTATACCTCCAAAAGTTTTGATAAGAAATAGGTTGCATGCTCCATAACAAAGCGACAGAACCTAGAAGCTATACTGAATTAAGGAGGAATTTAAGGCTAAAATTTCAGACCTTTTTTTTGTATAATGTTGTTAATACGTGTGATGTATGATATCACTAATATTAACTAAAATCAACAACCAGTGGTCAATTTCTTGAATAATTGTCCACTTACAATATTACCAAAAGGTATTCATTATTAGTTCAAGTTGTAAATACTATTGATATATTACATTATATTTACTTGTTTTTTGGTTAACCATGAAAATTTGACAAAATGCAAATTCTTGCACTTTAAAGACTGAAATATACCACACTGAAAAATCTTAGCTGGTCTATCTTTATTGATGGACAGTATGAAAATATCAAAATAATTATAGTGAGAAAGGATAAGGCCTGAGTATACTGCTGTGGAATTACAAAGCACAGTCAGGAGTTTCACCTAGGAGTTGACCTTTGAGCAGCCTCGATGATAGAAGGAGGCTCTTGTTGCATTCTGAGTAGCAGATGGCACACACAGACAGAGCAAAGCGGACTAGGGCATTGGGAGTATTCGTAACATCGATGATTTTAGATATTAAAGTGGAAGAAGAGGGATAGTAAGTATAAATGGGAGGATAATCTAGGGGCCTATTATTATTAAAATCATGCTATAATTTTAGACTTGACTCAGAAGCATCATCCTAAATTTGAACAAAGGAATATCTTTTCTTTTTATTTATTAGCGTATCATAGTTGTACCAGGGGTACATCATAAAATTTACAGAAGTGCTTACAATATATCTTAGCTAGATTCACCAGCTCCATCTTTTTCCTTTTTCCTTTAGTCATCTTCTTCCCCATCTTCTTAGAACAGTTTCAACAGGTCTCACTGCTTAATTTTTATACACGAAAACACAGAACTTCCAAAACGGATCTGAGAGTACTATGATAGCTGGGAGTAGCATGAGCCAAACTAGAAGATTAGTTGGGAAATTACTAATTCAGGTTGAGAGGTGAGAAGCATCTTAATTACACCAGTAGGTCTGGAGAAGATAGACTGGATGTGCTACTTCACTATCAAGCAAAAAAACTTATGGGTCATTTTAACTAATTAGCAGGAAGGAAAAGGAAAACTCATGGTGTTTTGGAAATTCTGAGAGAAAAGATAAAATCTGTCAAAAGAACCATAATTACAACTATAAGAGGAACTTTTCAACCAGTTATGTTAAATTAAATTGGATAGTATATTTCTGAAGCAGGCTAAAACAAAGCCTTTAAGTAAAAGATATACTACTGAGGATGACCAATAACGCACATACATAATCACTGATGTGCGTATGTTTTAGAATAATTCTGACAAAATAGATTTGTGGACAAACATGCGAAGTCCTACTAGGAAAAAAGCACACAGAATAAAAAACATAAAATGTCATGTAAATAACAAAAATTTACTTAAAAGTTTGCCCTGGACTTTTTTTTAGTGATGTCCTGGATCTAGGACCCCTGCAATCTTGAACAAACCAAGACAAGAATTTATCCTTCCCAGCAATCCGTAAGGCATTTTCGAGTGGTGGTAGATGCAAGGTTTCTTTTTATTTCCTTTTCTTTCAAGAGGGATATATTTTAGGTATGTGTTGAGAAAGACAGAGAAAGAATAAGGAAGGCAAAATATAGGCATAAGGAAAAAAATCTACCTCAAGACTTTAAGATATGATTGTATATTATATGGTATTGCTGGAATATAAGATTCTTATATTAGATGTATAAAAAACTGATTTTATATTTATTAGCAATCCAAAGCAGCCAGTCCAACAGACCAACTTAACTATTACCTATTTGAAAAATTGTTGGTGCCAAGTAGACTTAGGTGAGAAAAAACTCAGTAATATGAAAGCTTCTTCAAGTCTTATAAAACTATAATGTGTGAGGGTAATACTGCCAAGAACAGCTTAAAAGTATTCACGAGGGAAGAGGTCTGCTTTTTAAAGTAACAAGGTTAGATCATTTTCTCAAAGGAATGCTGTGAAATGGGAACAGCTTGAGATAGAATGAAAATATCATGTGTATTGCCTTTAAATGTCAGTTCAGTGAAAGAGGAAAGGGCAAAAGAGAAGCTAGAATCTAAGGTAGAAATGACAGAAAAAAAATGACAGCATTACAGGAAAAGAGGGTAGGCATGGGTAAAGCAGGTGGGGAGAATGTTGATTAATTTAAATTTTGGATATGTCATGTCAGGGTTTTATGCTGATTAGGAAAAAAAACAATGCAGAAGAGGGAAGGAGCTGCAGAAACAAAGCCCTTCAGTACATGAGGAGTGATGTCCAGTGCACACTGGGAAAATCCAGTGCCAAAAGGGATCACAAACCAAGGGAGAACAGAGTGGAGGTGGGGGTGGGGGATAGATTTAGTGACAGTGAATAGGGTTCTTTTCTACTTGCTTATATTTTCTTAGTCTTATAGGTAGAAAGATTTTTAAGATGAAGAAAAGAAAAGGGTGCTGGAGGTTTGAGGAGATAGAAATGTGAAAGTGGTTGGAGCAAGTGAATTCATTAGAGAAATATGGCAGGATTACCAGGTAGCCCACTGAAATCTGTAGTCATAATTTAAAGTGAAACCATTTTTCTTATAGCTATTTCAGCTACTCAAAGTCACATGTGGCATAAGCACACATAGTCAAATTCATTTGGGGCTGTTGTTTTTCCAAGAATTTACCAGCTAAAACAAGAAGAAAGGAGAAAGGGAGCTGAGTACATTAAAAAAATATATAATCAGTACATATTTACCTGGTTTACGTTCTAATAGCTGTTGTAAATGAAACACTGCTTGTTCATAGTCTTGTTTTCTGAACATGAGGTCAGCCATCATCTGTAAAGATAAAGTTGGTTCTAAAAATATTGCCAAATATTTTACAGAGCATATTCTTCTAATCAAGATTTAGCGTTATAAAAACACCTATGAACAAAATTTACAAAAGATAATCAAAGATGTAAACCAGATTGTTCTGTTCACAAAACTGTATTTTTAGCAAAAAACTGTTTCAAGTGGTGGTTTTAGAAACAAATTTGAAGGGAGCTGAAAATTCTATGTATGATGGTAGAAAACATGCCTCATTCACTAGACTTGGCTAAAATGACAATGAGAAATTTAAAGACAATACAGAAGAAAACAAAATTTAAGTCATAATTATTTGAAAGGAATATAAACAAGAAGGACCTGAGATTTTTTTATGTTTTAAAAAGGAGAAACTTTGTATTATTTTAGTTATAATAATAGCTTTTGACCCATGGTGTCACCACATCTGTAATTTCAGCACTCAAGAATCATGAGTTATAGGCCATCCTGGGCTACGTGGTGAGACACTGCCTCAAAAAACAAACAAACAAACAAAAGTAATAACCAAAGATAACAACAAAAACTTGAATGAACCTCACACAATGTCATCATCCATGGAGCTATTTGTATGCTGACAGTTACTTCAATCCAGATCAAAATGAGAAAGAAAAGCAAAACTTTATTTAAAACTGAACACCTAGAATAATATAGGCCTTTTTTTTTTTTGTAACTCCAAAAGTTCCATTGAAACTCTGAAATTTACTCCAACATGTCTGAGTAAATGTTTTAGAAAACTGTAGATTTGCCATCTGACCAAGTATCCAGTTAGGCATAAAGAAAAATTAACTAGACCCAAAGGGCAAATAAAGGCATGATCCAAGTTTGTTGTCATTCTTGTAAACACACTGTTAATGATTCTTGGTTTTTATTGATAATATGTACACGTTAGAAATATGTTACTTCTTCCAAAACCAACATGAGCCGTGCTTTACCATCTAGTATTAGTTCTAAGGGGTAAAATTTGAAACCTCCACTGGGAATGTAAAACTCAACTCTTTTCACAGCATAGAAGTCTCCTGTACTAACCATGGTGGCAGGTTCATTATCTTGGTCAAGCTGGAGAAGCAGTGCACAGTGCCGCTGGCAGGCATCAGGTTCATCGTGGGCCAGATATAACTGTGCCAGTTCCAACATTATCTAGAGAGCAAAAGGCAAGAATAGTCACAAAATGGCTTTGGAATAAAAGGTGAATGAGGAAAATGTTTGGATGAGACTAAACTTTAGTTGACTTAAAATTACTATAATAAAAATGCCAAGTGTGCTAGATAAGAAAAACTATAGGCATACCCATCTCTATTTTCTCTCTCACTGGAAAAAAATAGAAAAATAGGAGGTAACTCACTTTAGACTGCTTTCTTATTTATAAAATAAAAAATCTTCGAACAGGTAGTCTCTTAAGTTATGTTTCAGAAATAAAACAATGTTTTTTACTCATTTAGTCACCATTAAAAAAGGTACCTGTTTGGTTATGCCTTATGAAAGGTTATTTATATCAATCACCACCCTGTGCCAGGTCATTGTTTCATTTTAGTCACCTTTCACCCTCAGCACCAAAAAGGGCAATTGAAACAAAGAAGTGTACAATTGGTGCCTAGTAAAGGAACTGAATCACCTTGATCCAGATTATTTATTTGTGACTTGAGAAAACTGTTGTAAGATGACTGCTAAAACATAGATGAATATTAAAAATAAAGTTTACAGGTCTGCTTTACATATAACACTGTATTTTTAAATTTAAGGCATGATACAAGTATTTTGAATGTTTTCTGGAAACTATTAATTTTTTAACTTCTGTATTGTTATATTTCTTTTCAAATGTTCATTGTAAGTAAGGCAGTGAGAATTTTACATTTGGGGAAACTAGATGACATCTGGAATAAAAGGTGCTAAAATTTTTATAAAGGTACTGGGTACTGACCTTATTATCTGTTTCACAATGAACCACAGCTTCTCTATAAAACTTAATTGCTTTTTCATAGTCTCTCTGAGCAACAGAATCTTTTGCAATCTCTGCACAAATTTCAGCTGCTAAATGTTTTTGTGCAGGAACTGCATCTGGCTGTTCTATCTGAACACGTTTTAGTACCCGGGCTTGTATTTCTCGAGCCTAGAGAAAAATAAGGATAAAAAAAGCACTTAAAAAAATGGGGAAAAAAATCAAACAGTTTTCAGTAGGTCACACATAGTATAATCTTAGAGAAGATATTTCAAGCATTATTGCTCTTCATCTAACAAAAACTAATTCAAAGAAAATGCTTTAAGATCCCAAATGTGAACTTGTTTGCAAATCAGCCAGCACACACATATCTTTCCAACAAAGGCACTATAAAATTACTACATTTTCTTCCTTATTTTTGTATTCGTTTGTTTTTATCTATTTATTTTGAGTCAGGGTCTCACTATGTATGTAGCTCAGACTGGCCTCAAGCTCAAGATCCTCCTGCCTTAGCCTCTGGAGTACTGGGATTACAGATGCATAACACCACATTGGCTGTCTTTACCCAGATTATAAGGATATGCACAGGAAGCTCACCAAAAATGAAACACCACCATGAAGCAAATAATTGGAAGATATCTAGATGTTGTCAATAAACAGTTAAAATTTAAAATGTTTATTATTTAATAAAATAGTAAAATATTAAATATCATCAATAATATCAAATATTGACAGGTTACAAGTTTCAAGTGCATTTACATATATTGTCCAAGGCATATGAATTAGTCCCATCTTTCAGGGACCCTACAGCAAAACATAACAATAATATAAAACCAACCAGGCAGATGAACTCTGTTGTTCCACTCTTGGGAAAGTATTAAAGACATTATTTAGAAGGCAAAAAGAAAATTAGTCATCTGTTGTAAAGAAAAACTATCTGTGCCATTAGTTCTAAAAATTAACTAAGTAAAGAGAACAACAACAAAACAAAAGCAAAAACTCTGGAAGCAACAACTTAAATATTTAATGATGGCTAACTAACTGATGGTATATGTAAATACCATTTTATGTTACACATCGATACCCTAAAAGATATTCTCTTTGGGTAAGAATATATACTCACTGCTACTTAGAAGATATGTCTGTCTTCCCATTTATACATCTGATTTTTGGAACATTCATGAGAGAACCCCTATGCTTTAGGCCTTCACAAATAAAATTATGTTTTGATAACAACTCAGTAATGCATTCATTTAAAAAACAGTAAATGCCCTCCTTGTGCATCATATTAGGCTGTACATGAGGCATGCTTCCAGGGACTCCTATCAAAATGTTGGTTGACAATTAGTATTTGATGAATATGATTAAAGCAGAGTTCATTTTCTTTTTTTTTTATATCGAGTCACAGGTTTAGAGGGTCATAATAGCATTCTTTTGGAAAATGAAAAAGAAAGGATTAGAAAATGAGTGTATATACCATGTGGTATAGATTAATACTATTTCATGAAAATTTATTTTGATAATATTAACATGTGTTTATATATGTCTGGCAGTATGTGTGCATTTGTGATTTGGGTTATACATACATACACATATATGTATATATCTGTTTGTGGACTTTTTTATACACACACACATGCACACATAGTCAAAAACTTCAATAACTGGTCTAAATAGATTGATCTGTGTCTGGAAGAAAGGGTTCCTTGCATCCCTGCTTGCACCTCCACACACTCAAATGTTCTTCTCTGCCATCATTTGGCCATCAGGAAGTGAAAGCAAAAAGTAAAAAGAGATCCTTAGGGTACATCACTAGCACCTCAGGGTTAAGCTCCTACCCCAAAACCAAGCCCCTGGGTGGTAGCCTCCAAGCCTTTTGTGGAGACCTGTTTCATCTTTATGACCCTACATTGTTCTGCAGTGAGAGTTTTTGAACTGCAAGGATATGAAAAAAAGGAAAAAATGAAAGACAAAATATAATCAATACCTGTAACAATAGAGGCCCAAGGCAAACTGCCCCAGATAGCTGTCCCTACTTCCAATAAGATAAGAACTGACATCATTTGAACCTTGAGGACAGCCTCAAAGTTGATACCTGCTGTTCTAGTCTGATTATTAATATTGCCTTCTTTCCCTTTCAAAAGCATTCTGTTTTGAACAACAAATAATATGGTCACCTTAGGTCTTCAAGATATTCAATTTACTCCCTAAATAGTCTTGAGCTTTATCTTGGTCTCAATTAAACATCTAGAAAGCCAAGTAAGTGGATCTCACCAGTTTAGCTCTCTAGAGAAACACACTTATGAATTTTGTTTTTGAGTGATGATTTGCCATTTTCCTAATGATAAATACATGGAAGAAATTTTGAACAAGAGAATTTTACATTTTCTATTAAAATCATTTTGTAAAACATATTCAATTTCATAACTGTATTTACAATGATCATTAAGTAACATTTTCATACAGAATTCATATTAGTAATAAACTTTTCTTGAAGAACTGATACACTCCTATGTTTTTTCTTTTGTTCTTTTTCTTAGAGTTAAAATTGTTATAATAACTCTATTATTCATGATTGTCAACTTTTACCTTCCCCCCTTCTTTTGTGTTTTATATCTTCTAATAAACTCCTTCAAATCCTTGAATAGAAGAAAACTTACCTTACAAGTATGCTTACAACCATTTCATATCTATACTGCCATATAACCATTATACATACAATCCATGTAATCACTATACAATCGTTATAGTAATAATATGGTTGCCAAGGGAGTATATAATAGTAGACCTGACTTAGTTTGGAGGTCAGATTAGACTTAAAGAATGACTTTAAAATTTTCTCTTTCTACTTTAATAGCTTAATTTTGCATAATTACTGAAGATTACCTTGAAAATATACCAATTAAATCAAAATATACTATTTTTCATAAAATGAATACAAAACTATCCACATGAGAAAAATATACATGTTAAGTGAATGGGGAAAGTAAAAATAAATCTTTTCATATTAAATGGTAAAATTACAGAGTTACAGAGTCAGATAATTTTTAGTGTTCTATGTCTATAAGCTATTTTTGAATTTTTGATTTTTTAAGATTTTGTTTTTAGAAAAAAACAGTGAATACTTTAAAAAGTGATTTTTCTTATAACTGTTCCTGGAATTAAAGGGTTAACCTGATTTCCTTTTAGTCACTCAATGGCCATTTTTGAGCATCTATTATGGAAGATGGTTCCTAAGATGTTTCCTTATTGATGTTTACTCCCTGAATAATCCTTCCCAGGTATGCAGGTGGGTCACAGAACTTGCTTATAACCAACAACAAATGTGACAGGATATCACTTCCATGATTATGGCATTTTTCGTAAGATTATCTTGCTAACAGATTCACTCTAAAGACTTTCTCCTTTGATGGCTTTAAAGAATAGAGAGCCAGATTAGCTGGTCCAGCCTAAAGAACCTTTAGGATCTGAGGTTGGCTTCCAGTGAACAGCAATCCAGAAGCTGGAGCTCTCATTCTTACTGCCTTGTTGAAATGAATTCTGCTAAAAATCAGTGAGACTGAAAGCAGATCCTTAACCAGACAAGTCCTCAGATAAGAACCCAGTCCTGGCCAATATGTAACTGCAGCCTTGTAGAGGTACTTGCTCAGGTGTGCCCAGACATCAGACCCAGAGAAAATATAACAAATGGGTGTATTATTTTCACCCATTTTTGAAAGTGAATATATTTTTTTTAACCTTTATTTGAGGTAATTTGTGATATAAAAAATTTTTATGACTTACTATGAGGCAAGCATTTCTAGGGTCCTAAACACAGGACCATTCCTACACTAGCAGAAATTCCAATTTCAGTAAGACAGATTATTGCTAAAATTATGAGTTTCTATGACTTCTTGTCATGGAAGTACATAATAGGAGACCTGATTCAGTCTTAGAGGTTTACAACATTTGAAGAATGACTAGTATAACACCCTGGTGAGTTTGAGAGAAAAAATAAAAAAAGACTGAAGAGATGGAATGGCCCAGGGCATTAGGAATTCCATGTAAAGCAAAGAAAGTAAGGGATACTACTGTGTGATCAATTAGAAGAATAAAAAGCTGAAAAGAGAGAATTTGTGGTATTAAAGGCAATGGGATGCAACTATGATTATTTATAAGCAATAGAGTAACAGGACTGGTTTTGCCTTTGAGAATTACCATCCAGTGTTACTGTGAAGAACTGACTAGAGTGAAGTGAGATGGAAACAACAAGTGGATCACTTCAGAGGCTATGGTGGCAGTCTGGGCAGAAGTCAGTGATGGAGAGGGCCAAAAGATGACAGAGGGCTAAAGAAGTGTGGAGTTACTTCAGATGTCTGAAATTTTTAGAAGGTGGAACTTGTAAGAGTTGGGATAATCCTAAATTCACCAATTTCACTGCTGCCAAAAATGTTTACCAAGTAAACAAAAATATTTGATGGAATTCCCACAGTTAATATGGAGAATGAAACTCAATAAATGGTTGCTGAATAAATTAATATAAAATATCAAAAACTTTTGATTCTACTTTAAATAATACCCCAATATTTGTGCTTGGGTTGATCATAATGCATAGCATGTAATATTTGGGAAACATCTGTGGCTCTTCAAATTTTAATAAAGATGAATAATTCCTTAAAACTATTTAGAGTTTGGTGTGTTGCCACTGCCTAGCTTGGTAGGCTGTTTGCTCTTTATTCGGTGTTGCTTGAAGTGCCCGTTTATATTACACAAGCACTCATACAACTAAAGTTGGCTGGGACTAGTGATATTTGTAAAAAGGTGAAATAAATATTCAGCTTATTTCAAAAACATCTTAAAAGTCTAACTTTACCAAAATTATACATCTCTTATAGCTACTGGTAACTAACCTAGGGTATGCAAAATTCTCTATAATGTGATTCAGAAAGTGGAGATTTAAAAGATACTAACAACAAAGGATAAGATATTAATACTGTTGAAGGTTTATGCATTTTAATAAAATCATAAACTTAGATAGATGTTACAGAAATCAAACAGTCCAAACTTTCAAGTCATTCACACCAGAACAAAAACAATTTTTGGACATTGTCACTTAAACACACACACAAACACAAATGCACATAGCCCTCTTAGCTAAAGCTTATAATCAAAACATTTGATAAATTATTTGC